TACGAATGTTTCTCTTAGGTCTATTTGCATTAACATGAATAGTAGATTCAGATTCTACTGAGACATTACTGTTATCAGATAAAACTACAGGAATAGGAAAAGGAATGGAAGGAGATGGAAGAGAAGTATCAGGAATAGGAAGAGGAAGTATAGTGGATGAAAAAAGATCAAGAGTGGATGAAGAAAGCTCAAGAGATTGAAAAGGAAAGATATCCTCATGAAAGATAACATTTCTGGATATAGAAATGGAATGAGTATCTAAATCAAGAACTTTATATCCCTTGTAGCCAGAGGGATAACCAAGAAAAACAGAGGTTGTTGCTCTAGGAGTAAATTTGTGCCTATCTTTAGGATAAGTAGATACATAACAAAGACAACCAAAATTTTTGAGATTTGAATAGTTTGGTTTCTTTTGGAGTAATAGTTCATATGGAGTCTTGTTATTAAGAAGAGTTGAGGGAGTTCTGTTTATAAGAAAAACAGAAGTGAGAATACAATCTGACCAATATTGTAATGGCACATTTGATTGAAAAAGAAGAGCCCTGGCCACATTGAGAATGTGTTGGTGTTTTCTCTCCACAACAGAATTTTGTTGTGGTGTATCAACACAAGAGAAATAATGGAAAATTCCTTTTGATTCAAGAAGAGAAGTGAAAGAAAGCTCAGGAGCATTATCTGAACGAATAGCTTTGACTTTGCTAGAAAACTGAGTTTCAACAGTTTGTAAGAAAGAGGGAAATACTTTAAGAACATCACTTTTTGATTTTAAAAGATAAACCCAAGTCACTTGAGTACAATCATCCACTATAGCGAGAGAATAACGAAAACCTTCAACTGAAACAATAGAAAAAGGACCCCAAACATCCAAATGTATAAGATCAAAAGGCTGTTTAGAAAGATTATTAAGAAAAGGAAAAGCTAAACGTTTTTGTTTTGCAAGATGACAAGTCTTACAATGTGACCAATCTTTAAGTTTTGTTTTTGAAAGAGAAAGATCTTCAGAAATAACTTGGAGCTTGGGAAAAGATGGATGACCGAGTCTTGAATGCCAAAGAGAGCTAGAATCAGAAACATTGACATTGCAAATGAAAGGTGATGGAGCTTGAGATGAAGAAGATGATGATGCATTGTCCAGAAAATAGAGTTTATTCTCAAGATGACCTTTACCAATCATCAAGCCCCGAGTAAGCTCCTGAATTGTGAAAAAGGAAGGGAAAAAATTAACAGAGTATGCACAATCATGAAGAAGAGAACTTACACTGATACGATTGAGATGAAAAGAAGGAATGAAAAGGACATTTTTAAGAATGAGTTTATCTGATAACATAACAGTGCCAGATTGATTGATGATAATCTGAGAACTGTTAGGTAATTTCACAGTAGTATCAGAAATACTATTAATATCAGCAAATAGACTTAAGTTGCAACAAACGTGAGTAGTTGCACCAGAGTCAATAATCCAGGCATTGAAATTAAGGCATGGTTCTGAGAAGGTTGTGCAAATGATGTTACCTGCAGATGTAGACGGATATATGACACCAGGGGATTCTGAGATGCTTGGCATAGAACAGTTTGATTTTGTAGTCAGTTGAGTTGCTAACTGTTCAATCTGTTCAGAAGATAGCTGAGCCAAAGCATTGGACACCTGATGAAAATGGTCTTGAACTGCAGGGGAAGTCGTGATAACATTGCCAACCATATTATCTCTCGGCCCTTTTTGACTCTGCATGCGTGCTTGTTGTGGTATAAACTGTTGACCATATTGCTGTTGCTGTTGTTGTGGAGGAATAAAAGGAGGACGAGAGTTAAACTGCTTGGGAACAAAAGCAGGAGCAACATTTTGATTAGCATAGGATGGAGAACCATAAGACTGAGCTGGAGACTTGTATCCTAGGGGATAACCATGAAGCTTGTAACATTTAGTGATAATGTGTCCCTGCAAACCACACTAAGTGCAAATGGGACGTTGTTTAGGTCTGTATCCACCAGAAACAGCTCCAACAACTTCATTAGAGCCAGAGTTATCAGTGAAAATTGGATTGTTCTGAAAACTCGGATCATAAGAGGACTGAGCCTGCTGAGAACTCATCTGAAAAACCACACCACCAGCCTGTGGTGGTTGCTTAATTTCCTGTTGATGCTCATGTTGAATCACCATATTCAAAGTTCTCTCCAAATCAGGTAGAGGATCAATCATGATAATAGATTCCCTAACATGTTCATAAGAGTCGTTAAGACCAAAGAGAAACTTAATCACAAAGTTTCTTTCAAAGAGTTCCATCCATTTGCTATTCAAATCACAATCACAACCAGCACACTAACAAACGGGAAAGTCTTGAGCACTCTTGACTTCTTCCCAAATTGTTACCAATTTTGTGTAAAAGCTATTCACATCCAACGATCCTTGACGAAGACCAGGTAGTTTCTGTTCAATACGATAAAGACGAGGAACGTTGTTTTGTTTATAGATCTTCAATAATTTCTGCCAAATACCATGTGCAGTCTTCACATATAACACGCTTTGGCCTATAGTCTTGGAAACAGAGTTCATAAGCCAAGATATAACCACATCGTTAACTCTGGACCAAGCCGCGGCATCTCTATGACCATCGTCAGGTTTAGGAAGACTACCATCAACAAAACAAAGTTTATTACGACCATTTAACGCCATGAGCATCGATTGATGCCATGATCCAAAATCGCCAGCTCCAGTAAGACGATCGGAGACTAGTATCAAGCCAGAATGATCATGTGCAGTAAGAAAATAGGGATTATCATATGAATCGCGAGTCAAGGTCGCCATTGAAACGAAACCGAGAGAACGCGAAGCTCAAAAAACAAGAAAAAGATGAAACAGAGCAATAGAAGCTCAAAAAAGATGAAACGAAGCTCGATCCGAGACAATCAATGGTCGAATCAAAGAAAAACAAACTCATATCATGAAGATCGAAGCTCAAAGATGAAGAAATGAATGAGAAATTTGGGTGCGGAAGGAGAGAGAAAGCTCTGATACCATATCAGAATAGAGAGAGAGAGAAAGTTTGTTATTTTTCATTAAGTGTAAAAAATGTATTACATGTACAGTATATATAGTAAATAAGGTATAAAACTATATACATGTATGACTATACTCTAATAGCTAAAAATTATACGTTTTTGTTTGGTTTGATGATTAATAATACTCTTTGTCGTTACGATTGAACTTCTCATCCTTTTTTTGTTTATGAGTTTATTTTTTTATTTTTTTTGTAAACCAATTTATGAGTTTATTATATTCAACAACGATAACAAAAAATTTAGTATGCCTGCAATGTTGGACCGACCATTTATTTGTGTGCCTTGATAAAGAATAACCAATATTACACTTCAACCAACGTTCTTGCGAGAAGTGATGGTATCCTAGTGGTATTTCCTTCTCACAGATGAGTGCCAGAGGTCTCGAGTTCGAGTCTCTCTGTCACGGTGGTACTGAACCTCTCCAAATAAAAACTCCTCCATACGAGTAGGGGCAAGCGGTGTATACTAACCCGTATGTCCAGGCTGGAGGTGGAGTTTTTCCTGGATATGAGGCCGCTTTGCGGTGGGGTCTGTCACTATAAAAAGTTTACTCTAACAGTTTTGAGGTTGTGCGGATCGAGCCTTGCGCGTGGGCTTCACGCGTCCCCCTTTTCTCTCCCAAATCAAGCGACAAAAACAGCGATAACCCTAATTGAAATTCGTTTGTCTCTCCGGCAACGGTGCTCGTTGCTGGTTGTCAGAGAGGACCTCTCTCTTCCCCCTCTCTCTGTCTATTTGTCTCTTCCTCCGTCTTGCCTTTGAAGCTCTTGCGGTGGCCAATCCGAGGTTTGTTCTTCGTCTCTTGTTGGTGGTGAAGCGGCGAGTGTCCACGCACGAATTAGGACAGATTGCCTTGCTCTCCTGGTGTGTTCTGGAATTCGACGCTCAAGGACGGCGCCGGTTCTGGGATTCTCCTCCGGCGAGAATGGCTTCAGATCTGTCCTCGTGCAGCTTCGGATCTCCGTTTCTGGTTGTGGCTTTGATGTGGCGATTGTAGCATGAGTGCGGCTCCTAACGGCGGGATTATCCTCCATAACTGAGAAACCGGTGGTGCATCGCCGAGCTTCTTCAGTAGTCGTCGTTCCTCTTGTGGTATTGGCTATTCAGCGAGCTTCGGTGAGGCGGACCTTCTCTTCTCGGTCTCTCTGACCTTAGTGGATCCGGCGGGTATCTCTATTGGAGGCAAGCCTCGGAGTCATTCTTGGCTTTTTGGTTTGTTCGTTGCGGTTAGATGCGTTGTGGGTTTTGTTGTTGGTTGTCAGCGTGTCTCCTCCATTGGTGGGCTGTAGAAGGTGGCAGGTTCTTCAGCCATGGTTATGGCTTCTCCATCTCCATTTGTCTTTGTCCCTGACGTAAGTCTCCGGTTGCTTTAAGGTGGAGTTTTGTTGTTAAAGGTGTTGTCGGTATTGGTTCTTGTGTAAGTGAGCTTCTAGGTGCATTGGCAAGGTTAGTCGAGTGTTGAATAGAGGCGGCGAATAGGTCTAAGTGGTGTCACTAATTCGATGAGCTAGTGTACAAGTCCACGGTTGCCTATGCGTTTTTGCGTTAGTTCTCGGAGAAGCTGTAGGCTTCTATCTCGAGGTTTTGAGGACGGATCTCGGATAGTTTAGCTCGTGGCAACTAAGATGAGGATTCCAGTACTTCGGTCCTGTGGCAACCACGCAAATGTCTGAGCCTCGCGAGCTCGGAATCGGTGTTTCTCCTCGCAACTTGGCCTTGAACGCTCTGAAGTGATCTGAAACAATTTGAGTAGTAATGTTGTATTTATTTTCTGTAGATTGCTTAAATCTAATTCTTGTAATCCCTGTAATTCTGTCAAAAATCTAAAATGGTATAAAATTTAACTTTTTACCAAAAAAAAAAAAAAAAAAAAAAAAAAAAAAAAAAAAAAAAAAAAACCAACGTTCTTGCGGGGAAGTGGTCACTAGTGGGGCATTTGTTTTTTCTTCTTCGATCACCAAAAAAAAAAGTGTTTTTTCTTCTTCTATAGAGTTAATTGGGCTGATGGATCGGCCCATGAAGGCCCTAAACTGAAAGGAAAAAATGGGCATGAATATGATCAGGGTAAAAGCCAGCTTAAAGGACACTGAGCCTCTAGAGTCAAAACGGAGCCAAGTTTCATCTAAAGATGGGAAAAACGAAGCAATACTGGTTACTCAAAACAGAGCCAAGTGAGTGGTCATGGTCAGACCAAGAAGCAAACGGCGGGATCAGCAAATGGGACGGCGTCAAGAACAAACAAGCCCAGAAGAATCTAAAGTCCATGACTTTAGGAGATCTCTGTTTCTTCTACCATTCAGGAACCAAAGCTAGATGCGTCGTTGGCGTAGTTGAAGTATCACGTGAATGGTACACTGATGATGATGAAGGAGAAGGAGCGGTCGATGTTAAAGCGATTGGAGAGATGAGGAAATGTGTGGATTTGAAGGAAATGAAAGGAGACAAAGGGATTATTAAGAGTTTTGTTTTGTTTAGACAGCCGAGGTTGTCTGTTGTTCCTGTTGAGGAAGATGTTTGGAAAAAGATTTGTGAATTGGGAAATGGGTTTTGTGGAGATGGTAAGGAAGATTGTGAAAGTAGTGATGATGAATCTTGAATTTGATCTGTTATTGTATTATGTGAATTGTAAGTTTTTAACTTGGTTAGGGTTTTTGCTTAATGAGTGATTCATAGTGGTGATGCTATTGATGTGTTCATTTCGTTAATTTGACTGGTGCATTTTGTCGAACATGTGGTGTGCAAGCAAGTATGTTAAATTTTGTGAGATTTTTAATTTAAGAAAAACATAAAATTGTTTTTACATTTAGATAACTCGTAATATTTTGTGAGATTTTTAATTTAGAAACAAACACAAAATTTGTGATGTTACAAGAATATTTTATACCTTGTCAATTATTCTAAAATTATTTTTTTGGTTAGTAGATTTTTGGAAAGTTTACTCTAAATAACCCAAAATTTTTGGTTTATTACTAATTAGGTGGGTAAATTTAGCGGGGTTTTAATACCAAAAGACCCTTAAAAGCTAGTGTTAGAAAACAAAAAAAAAGTATTTACTAAAGGTGCCACTAAACGTCATGGTCGGGTTCTAAAATCGAATTTTAGAATCCGACCATGACGTTTTTTGACCGGAGATTCTAGTTTCGGTTGTTTCTTGAGTTGAAGTGGAGCTTCAGTGTGTGGATCTATGGGTATCGAGGGGTTTTCAAGGTTACGGCGTGGCTCTCGATGAGGGTTGATGACCGGAATCTGTTGTTTCTCGGGTCGGATGGGAATCACAGAGGGTGGATTCATGGGTATCGATGGACTCCAAAGGCTACGGAGTCGCTTTCAATGAGATTCGGGGACCTTTTTTTTGGATCGATGGTTGTTCTCCGGTCTATGAGGCTCTGGAGTCATGAAGAATCAGAAGGTTGTTGTGGTTTCCGATTTGGTTTCAAGGCAAAGCAGTGGGGTCTGGTCCCGGGGAGAGATTGGAAGGAATACATGCCTATTTGGGGGTTTTCGATTGATGTATTGTTGGTCTTGGGTCTGTTTGCAATGGTTGATACGGTTATTTCGATGTCGGAGGTAGGGAAGGAAGCCTCAAGGAATTCTCGGTCGAGTGTTTTGAGAATCTCAGGGAAGTTTCGGTTGAGTGTTTTGAGAATTTCAGGGAAGGTCCACTCAAGGTTTTTTAGAATTTCAGGTTTTAAGTTGGCTTCTGCTTTCAAAATTCTGCAAGTTCCCTCTTCCAGGAGTGGAAAGGAATTCGCAGGTGAGGTGATAATGAAGAATTCATCCTGTTTTCATGTCTTTGATGGGAGTTAGAATCTTAGTCTCGACCCAACCATGCTTGGGTTTGTTTCGGTTGAGGTAGGGATCTGGTTGGGATTATCACGGTTGACTCAAGGCTCGGAGAGAGAAATGAAATGTCAATTAAAAGTGGTTTTGAGTAGATCCCGATCTAATTTAGGTGTTTCATGCGAAGGTTCGAAATGGTTTTGGTTAAGAAGGTTTGGATCTGAGATGTCTCTTTGTAAAGGTTCCTTCTTGGTTTTTACGGTGGTTATAATTCAAACTTGGTTGAATTGGTGGTCTTGTCTGGTAAGTCCAGCGGCTTTGTGCTCGATCTGGTGGTGGAGTGTGGTCAATCGGATCTATTTCTAATGGTGGGATATCAGTCATGGATCCGTGGATTCTATTCGATCTTTTTTCCTCGATTGGAATTTTGAGTGTTTGACTAATGGGTTTATCTTAGCTTCTGGGTATTTAGAAGTTGAGGATTTGATTTTGGTAAAGGAAGAGACCGCGATAGAGAGTTCAGACTTGATGGTTCCCGGTGGTGGTCGCTATTTGCTTCGGTTGCCTTTAGTGTTCCGATTGTATTGGGAGTTTGAGTTCTTGGAATTGAGTTTCAATGGGATACAATTCTTAGATTACGATGTTTTGTTGTCGAAATTTGAGTTTGTTTTAGTTGCAGTTTGGATTTGGGCTGCGGATCAAAGATACTTTCGGTTGAAAACGTTTGAAAAGAGCAGTCAAATCTAGGAGTTTTTAAACAGATGGTTGTCCAATGATAGGAGTGGGAGGGCTTGGTTTTCTCTTACAAGGGCTAATGTGGGTGGTCAGAATTTCCCTAAAGGGTATGATGTTGGTCGATTGTGTTTGGATTTTGAGTGTATGTGTGGATGTCGGATTCACACACTCAAGTATTTTTATTAAGCGGGAAAGATTACTCTCGAGGGACAAAAAATGAATATGTAAAAAGCTATGAATTAATACAAAAATTGCTACAGTATTTCTTGCTCCAGAAAAAAGATCCCCTTCCATGGCCATTGGCCCTTATATTTATACATAGAAAAACGACATTTAAGTGGCTAATTAAGTACGATTATTCTCTCTTAAATGTGTCCGTTTCGGTCTCCGAATTTAATGCTCAACGTTCGAATTTGAATTGATTCCGACCTTCATGGGCCTCGCCTCTCAGCCCAAATAACCTTGAACCGACTTAGCTGTGACTTCGACTCCGGACTCGTATCGAGGTGCAATCACTTCGAACTCTCTTTGTGGTGTCACCACCTCGACCGCACCCTTAACTTACGGACCTAATGGGCCTTATCCCTTGTGGGCCTTCATCTTGACTACGTGGCAATCTTTGGTTGGTCCCAGACTACTGGTGCAGGATCCGACACCAACAGTATGGAGTTGAGTTTTAGTGGTTGTAATAAACGGTTTTACTACGGTTTGATTTCCGGTCTTTTATGGTTGGTTGTGCATACTATAAGGATTAAAATATCTAGATTCAATTGTGATGGGTTTTTTTAAAAAAAGAATCAAAGGAACGAAGGACATAACTCGCCGCACTATGGTACGGTTAAGGACTTTACAGGTGGACGCAACCCACGAAAACACAAGATTGATAAATGAAGGTTTTGAGTTAGAATTGTCAAGGAATTGGGAAGAAGGCAACTATCGATTATCTTAGGGATATATGGAAACAACACCGGCCAGATTTTTTATTTCTTTCGGAAACAAAACAACCTTCGTGGTTTATGGAAAAATTTATCGGTCATTTTGGTTATAAAAATTTAAATACGGTTGATCCTATCGGTTGTAGTGGTGGCTTAGCGCTATATTATAATAATGATTTTAATGTTTCAATTCTTTATGAAAGTAATCGTTTAATTGATGTTGAGGCGGTGATAAAAGAAAAAACATTACATCTTACTTTCGTTTATGGTGATCCAGTCCCGAAAAATAGAGATCAAGTTTGGGAACGGTTAACACGGATCGGTTTGAATAGAGACACACCTTGGTTCTTAATAGGAGATTTTAATGAGTTAACCAGAAATCACGAGAAAAGAGGTGGTAATTTAAGACATGCATCTTCTTTTATCCCTTCTAATTTAATGATTCAAAATTGTGGACTTTTGGAGTTCCCATATATCGGGGATTGGTTATCATGGCGGGGTTGGCGCGATAAGAAACCAATACGGTGTCGTTTGGATAGAGCTTTAGCAAACGAAGATTGGCATGAATTATTCTATAATTCTTTCGTTGAATATTTACCAATGGTAGCTTCCGACCATTCACCGGTGGTAGCTACGCTCATGGATAAGAAGATCCCACGTGAGAAAAGAAATTTTTGGTTTGATAAAAGATGGATTGGGAAGGAAGGATTACTCGAGGCAATTTCAAATGGCTGGAATTCTGACTCTGAGTTAGGAGAAGGAAAATTTGTGGAAAAATTGACTAATTGTAGACGGGCTATTTCGCAGTGGAGGAAAAATTTAATTCTCTATGGGCGGCAAACTATTGAGGAACTAAAATCGGAATTACTTCTGGCACAGAGAGATGATAGGAGACCACGGGAGGAGATTACAGAATTAACATTGCGGTTGAAAGAGGGTTATAGAGATGAGGAATTGTATTGGCATCAGAAAAGTAGGAGCTTTTGGATGAAACTAGGGGATAATAATTCAAAGTATTTTCATGCACTAACAAAACAAAGACGGGCAAGGAATCGAATAACGGGGTTACATGATAAACACGGGATTTGGTCTGCAGAGGATAAAGATATTCAAAATATAGCGGTATCTTATTTTGAGGAACTGTTTACTACAACTAAGCCTGAGGCTTTTGAGGAATCCTTGGCAGAAGTTCAAACTCTGATTACGGATAAGATTAATAATTTTCTAACGGCACCCGCAACGGAATGTGAGGTGAGAACGGCTCTGTTATGATGCATCCGGAAAAAGCGCCAGGACCAGATGGAATGACAGCCTTATTTTTCCAAAAGGCTTGGGTTACTATTAAAACATATCTTCTTTTTCTGGTTAACTCTTTTTTAGAGGATAAAAATTTTGATAAACGGTTAAATACGACTAATATTTGCCTGATTCCAATAACGGAAAGACCGACATGGATGACGGAATTACGGCCTATCAGTCTTTGCAATGTTGGATATAAAATTATATCGAAGATTCTTTGCCAAAGACTTAAGACGGTGCTACCAAAACTGATTTCGAAAACACAATCGGCTTTTGTAGAAGGACGGTTGATTTCAGATAATATTCTTATTGCACAAGAGATGTTCCATGGGTTGAGAACTAACCCATTGTGTAAAGGAAAATTCATGGCCATTAAAACGGATATGAGTAAAGCTTATGATAGGGTGGAATGGATTTTCATAGAGAATGTTTTAAGAAAATTGGGTTTTTGTGAAAAATAGATTAAATGGATAATGTGGTGTATTACAACGGTCCAATATAGAGTTCTCCTTAATGGACAACCTAGAGGACTAATAGTACCAGAGAGGGGTTTACGACAAGGAGATCCGCTCTCACCTTATTTATTCATCCTGTGCACAGAAGTGCTAATTGCGAATATTCGGAAAGCTGAACGGGAAAAATTAATTACGGGTATCAAAGTAGCAAATACGAGCCCTTCGGTTTCACATCTGTTATTTGCGGATGATAACCTGTTTTTTTGCAAGGCTAACAAGGACCAGTGTGGGGTAATTATGGGGATTTTAAAGACGTATGAAGCGGTCTCGGGACAGCAGATTAACTTTTTAAAATCTTCGATTCAGTTTGGACATAAGGTATAGGATGATATCAAGGAAGAAATCAAATCTACCTTAGGTATCACTAATATTGGTGGAATGGGTTCTTATCTTGGATTGCCGGAGAGTTTAGGGGGATCCAAGACAAAAATCTTCTCTTTTGTCAGAGATAGACTACAAACAAGGAT